TCTCTCTCTCTCTCTCTCTGTGTGTGTGTGTGTGTGTGCGTCTGTGTGTTTGTGTGTGTGTGTGTGCGAGTGTGTGTGTGTGTCAATGTGTGTATTTATCACTGAATGATCATCCGAATCCGGAGTACATCATTCATTATGACGGCTTGTATGGGCCAAGGAGGATGCACGAGTTGTGCCCCCCGAAACCAAAGGAGTTGGACAACGCCACTTTGATGTCCATCCTCGCGGGCTTCTCCATGACAATAAGATCGGTGTCAAGCGAAGGCTCCGGTTTACGCAGGTTGATGGTTGGATGGAGAAGGCCTGTCCGAATGGCCTGCACCGTCGCCACGGCCTCAACTGCGCCTGCTGCCCCAAGCAGGTGCCCAATCATCGACTTCGTCGCGTTCATTTTCAGCTCTGCGTTCTGGCCAAAAGCACGAATCAACGCCTGGTACTCCTGCATGTCCCCGGCGTGTGTGGACGTCGCATGCGCGTTTACGTAATTCACGTCCTCCTTCCGCACCCCACTGGTTTCCAGCGCTCTGTCAATACACAAGGACACCCCGGCACCATCTGGGTGTGGCTCCGTCATATGATGCGCATCACACGTGAAGCTACCGCCCAAAAATTCGGCATAAATCGCAGCTCCTCGCGCCTTGGCGTGTTCCAACTCTTCTAGCACCAGCACGCCAGCTCCTTCTCCCATGACGAATCCATCTCTATCTACGTCCCATGGTCGCGACGCCCCCGCGGGGTCGTCATTCCGCGTCGACAGCGCCCTGCACGCCATGAACCCCCCCAATCCGATTGGAAGCACGGCAGCATCCGATCCTCCGGCCAGCATCAGGTCCGCATCCCCATTCCAAATATGGTTCGCCGCACTCAAGATGCAATAGTTACCGGTCGCGCAAGCACTCGAGATGGAGTAATTGGGACCCATGAAGCCTAAATCCATCGCCAAGAGGGCGGACCCCATGTTCGTCGTCGCGAAGGGTATACAAAACGGGTTCATCTTCCTGTAGGAGATGCGCAGCGCTTCTATGGCATCGTTGAACACCTGCAACCCACCCATTGCCGAGCCGATCAACACCCCGCATCGCGTCTTATCCACCTTCTCCAACACGGATCCAACCAGCCCTCCATCTTCCAGAGCCTTCTTGCCGGCCACCAACACATACCTAATGTAGCGGTCCATCCTCTTCGCCATCTTCGGCGCGATGTACCCATCGCCGCAAAAACTCTTAATCTCTGCTGCAATTCTGGTCGTGCAGTCCTTGCAGTCGAACGTCTCAATCTCGGAGACACCGCTTCTTCCTTCGAGGAGGTTGTTGTAGAACGTGGTTGGATCCAAGCCGAGGCTAGTGACCACACCCAAGCCGGTCACCACCACCCTCCTCGACGTAACCTGCGGGGACTTCGTCGTCTCAACGTCACCGGGACTCACAGTCTCTCTGCCATCCTCCAGTTGCTGGACGGCGATGGCCGTTGCGCGCGCCGGCGGTCGTGCTCGGCAGCTCCTCTTCACCGCAGTTCGGCGCTGCGCGGCCGTCAGCGGAGATGACCTCCTGGCTGCGGCGGAGGACATCACCGCCCCACTCTTTCCGCCGGCCGCGGGAAAACCACTGCCAGATGACAGACACACCCGCGTGGTGGACGCGTCCTGCTGGCTTCGCTGCGCGCCGCGAGACGACGCGCTCGCAGTCGTTGCTGCAACATAACCCGCGCAAATGCCACGTGCGGCCCCCTGCACCCCCCCCCCGGGCATCATCAAGGCCATACTACTCCCTTCCATGACGCCCTCTCCCTCGTCCGAGCGATGGGTTCTTTCGCGACTTATCCGCCTTCTCACCCTCGCGCATTCGCCACGTAAGCACGGGGCCGTACTGCGGTGGGCGCCCTCCGAAACACGCCTCCGTCTCGGACCCCTCCTCCCATCCCCTCCTCCTACTCCCCAATCAATCGTCGAAGACACGCATGCAGCCGCCAAAAACCAGCCACAGAGGGGAGCCGCAGCAGCAAAGCTCATAGTGGTCCGCGAAGATCCCGATATGGCGGCGAACTACGATTCGATGCGCGCCACCATCCGCTCCGCCATTCACTACCGCACTGCAGACAACGATGAGACTGACAAATGTCTCTTGGCCGCTCCACGCGCAGGAGCCCGCTCATCCCCC